TAATTAATTAATTAAATTCGAAAATGCTGCCGGACACTGACGCAAAGGATGAACGCATCTTACGTGGTCCTAACTGCTCTTGTGTGGCCTCTCCCCCAACGGATCGTCACCTCTCGCTTGTATCAGCAGGGTCCTATCGGGGGCATTCCGACGTTTCCTTTTGCTTTCCTTCACGGGCAAGTCAACTAGCACACTTCTGTTTCGCAAAATGTGCCTTTGCTGCGAAAAGGCCAACGAAGAACACGAAGTCAACGAAAAATCAATCCAATAGAGGAAGAAAGGAACGGTAAAGAAGGACCCTGTACTAGATAATATTCAGAATGGCACTACAGAAATGGCTGTGACGCAGATTCTTCCAGTTACGAAACAACGCCTGGGTAGTTTCAAGAACAGTGCAACAGGGAAGCGGTGATAAGAGCGTGCCCCGACGTACGATAAGAGAAATTGAATGCTAACAAAAAGTGAAAAAGTATTATCACGAGCAGCATATGGAGCCATTAGCCCTACCCTCTCCCTCTAGCGATCCCACTCCATGAGAGTTGAGCTAGATTTTCACAAATCCTGCTGTCGGGCAGTTTTAACTAATAAGATTGTCCTCAATAGCAATTCGACTCCTGGGCATGAATCCCCCAGTCGCTCGCCTTTGAAATGCTTGCTGACACTCGCAGCACAGACGCTTTTGCTAAAATACACCTATACCGGAAGGCTTAAAGGGGCGTTTTAAAGTACGCCCTGCAAAAGGCAGCGTATTCCCACGCCGACCTTCCTCAATTACCTTCACATATCTCTCTCTCCCCTGACTGCATTTCCACATCTGCTATATGGCGGAATTGAAAAGACCTCTCCTGCCCTGTACTCACTATTCCCTGCGGATGATGGGGCATGTCAGTGAGGCAGGGTTTGCCGCGCCGCAGCCCACCAATCGTTGCAGCGGGTAAGCGACAATGCTATCATTTAGCGGAGAACGACGGATGCGAGCAAAATGACACAGTCTTATTACTTGCCGAAGTAAAAAAGGGATTGGCGCCGTGCCAAACCTGTTCCCCTTGGCACGCTATTCCACAGCGTAAAGGACTCTACAGATCGCCAAAATTGCTGAAAAATGTCGCTAGAGGGAGCTCGAATACGAATTTCAGCTTACGACACCCACAAACCTGGACGCTAAAGCCTTCCCTATTCACATGGCCAGCGTTCCCGTGTATAACCTCGGCGAGGTTAGTGCTCCGGGTAAAACCAACACTTGGATCAAATCAGGCTCACCCTAGTTCCGATAAAATTGAGCCTAAGTTTTGCAAAGTAATGGTGTAAAGGAAATACAAATCGTCTTTCACTAACAGTACCGCATACCACACACCAATGGAGTACTGCTGTAACCTGTTCGTTTTAGGCTCGACTAGGCGCAGCGCTTGGACGGTGGTGTAGTGGTGTAAGGTGATCTTGAAAATCCGGTGCGTAGCGACAGAAAGAGCACCTGGAAAAAAACTCAAATGTTCTGGAGACCTTTCCTGCATTTTGATTCCTTCAAAACAACTGCAACGTCCACGTTCATTGTATGGGCGGAGCCAAGCATACCTATGATCTACATGATTGGTGCGGCCCTTTTTTTCCGAAAGGGGCGGAATGGGGTGCGAAGGAGGAACGAACTTCACCAATACGACGACCGTGGCCTGTTGGTAAAAACTATGCAAAACGGCTGGCATGGCAACGCAGAAGCCAAACCTGACCTACTCCGAGGTCGCAGCATTGGGGAAAAGTGTTTGCCAAGCGTTGAAATACCCGTGTTCAGAGGGACCAGCTACCCCGGGAACAGATCCGTGGTCAAATCAACTCCTTGATTCGGGACGACAATTTTGACCCAATTTTAAAACTTTGGAATATATCCGGCAAATGTTGCCGAAAGTCAACAACTGGCCTGTTCGGCGACGAGGGGGTGGGGAGGAAGGGGAGGAGGGGCATTTTGCACTTTAGACGAGCTTGCTCCAGCTTCACAAGAGTTCACAGGTTTCACCAGAGTGAGACTTGTAAACCGGAACTAGTGAAGAACGAAACTGCAAAATGCCCCCCCCCCCTCTTCTGTCGCCGAACTGTGCCTCAACAATTTGCTGTCCACAAAGAAAACATTGAAATTTTATTCACAAGATCGTTACCGTCCACGTAAGACTCACTACAAAAACGGTAACGGGCGAGGACGAGAAAAAAAAACAAAACAACGTTTTGATATGAAAAAACCAATTCAATCAAAGACTGCGACAATCCGCTACCACGCTATAATAATCTCATCGTACGTATTGAAATCACGGGGGTTCTAGTAAGTGAAAGGTGTGAATACTAAGTAGATCACTCATATTGACTTGAAAATGAGGTACTATAGATGCTTTCCAATAATTACACACTATACAAAATATGTTAAGTACACAATAAAACCCCTGACTCTGCGCCTAAATTAAGTTGCAAGGTGAGTGAGCAATCGATGATCATAGAATCTTTCTAAATCTGCATAAAAATACAATCTTACAATGAATAAATTAAAATGTATAATCCTTTTCTTCTTTTTCTCATGCGTATCACAGGCAAACGTATCATGTCCAAACACTGAAAATATATAAATTCAGGTCAAATGTAGTTGGGAGGGGCCAAGCGAGATTGCGACAATAGTGTTGCCTGCGTTATCTCTACTTGTCTTTTTGTTGTTTTCAAAACTGTAGACGGACAAATCCCCCACTTGATGAGAGGGCGCAGGCAAGCAGATGCAAGGTAGCACGGTCGCGTCAACTGAAACCTGTGCTGAGGGTCTTGACGTGAAAGGCTAGAGCGCAGAGAAATAGGGGCTGCAACTTTCAGCCTTTTGATCGCGCCAACTTTCTGTATTTCTCTGCGCTCTCACGCCTATATGACATTTTCGGCCACTGTGTCGTATAAACTTTTCTCACATAGTAAGTGGGTCACCCACCCCGGGGTCCCGTTCCTCAGTTCCAAGATAGACAGTGCACGATGTCTAGGTCTGACGTACATCACTTAAACCTTGATCATATCCTATCGTCTAACGTTTTTCGGGAATCTCTTGCTAATTTCGCCAAAACTTGACCGCTGTAATAATAGCTTACTTTCGCAATAATCACAGTACTCTCGTGACGGTGGTGGAGGCTTCTTCGGCTTTCGTTCGCATCATCTCTTCTTCCAACTTCTTGTTTAGGACAATCCTAGAATGTGTAGTAAAATGTTGAAAACACAATATACTAGCAGCACAGCAAACTCCCTGTGATTCTTTTGACTACTTTGCTACTCATGAGCAAATTCCAACGAGTGTGCAGCTGGACACGTCACAGTCAGTGTGGCGATGTCAGGAAGGGCGAAACGACCCACCCTTCAGCTGCCTTGCGCTACCAAGAGTGATCGGTTAGTGATCGCCTCAGAGGGAAAACAACCAGTGGTGAAAACGAAGCGGGCGAGCTCGTTACATCTCTCTTAAAACCACTCCGATCTACTGCGACGTAACAAACTGTACTTCCGACTAACATCAGTAAATGAGTCTCTTTAAACTAGCGAAGGAGTAACATTCCGGGTGAAGTGATCAAGGACTTGGAATCTCAGGGATTTCGCTCTCACCTCTGAGACTACCCTCGCCCTTACCTTGAATCAAAATCGTCTCAATACACCAGGGAGAAATTAAGTATGAGAACATCTCTTGGGATCCCTTCAATTGTTTGGTGGAAAGAAGCAGTTGCAAAAGGAACAGAGTACCTGGACTGCTGCTAGAGAGGGGCGACAGGGGAGTACCAGCTGTCTCGGCATTATCCTGTCACCCCATGCTCTCCAGTCCCGGACGCCCCTGGCGCTAGTGGTCGCTAGTAGAAGCTGCTTCTTA